AGAACATGCTGAGCCGGAGAAATGCTTGTATTGATGAAAGATATATCCAACACAAAGTTCAGCTAATGAGGTCTGATAACGTTGTTATCACTCACAGAGAAGTAATCCCAGATTGCGTTGTCCAACAGGTTCGGTCCTTGTACCCCAATTTACCAGAGGTGCCATATATGGGGCATAGATGGGAATGATCAACGTGTATGTAATTTACACACAAACCAAAAGGCCCTTTTCAGGGCCACTAAATCCTCCAAAAAGAGAACTACCGTACTTGTATGAACGAGTTATAATAAACTCATGTATGAGTGATGACATTTTTGTGATTATAAAGGCCTATAAACCAAAACTGCAAAAGTGCAGTTTGCAGTAAACAGTGCCACGCCATGAAAAAAAGTTACCATTTTCTAATTTTTTTCTAACACGTTTATTATTTTCTTTCAAAACATCCTCATGTATTTGAGAAAAAAAAAATGCATTCAAGGGGTAGTCTGTCGTAACTAACTACCAACTTAATCGGTTTGACTTTTGATGGATTTATTTTTTTGTCCGAATGTCACTTCGTCAGATTGTTTTTCAACATGGATGTCACAATGCATCATTACGTATGCACGCAAATTGACATGGAAACGCATTTAAGTGCAATCACAAGTACTAGGATATTTTTATTAGACGCATAAAATCCTTAGGAAAGGATAAAAAGGGTCTTACAGAAAGAAATTAAAAAAAAACAAAAAAACTACAATCTAAAAAAGAAAACAAAAAATGAAAACTTTTCTAAAAAAAAAAAAAAAAAAAAAAAAAACCAAGTCAAAAACAAAAAAAAATACAATTTGCAGCCAATGGTGAATACAGAATATAAATGAACACAAAATGTGGCCTAATACACTGATAGTTGTTGCTGTTTTGTTCCATAGCTGTTTTTTAAAAACAGCTAAGGCTGGTGCTAGAGTATGGTTTGCCATAATCAAAATGAATTTATTCTGACTATTTTCTTTATCAAAATTTGGAATTTTATTTTGTGCAGTCAGGAATAATTTGTCCCTATGGTGACTGTAAGCTGGACATTTCATTACAAAATGTTGCTCATCCTCAACTATATTTTGGCTGCACATATCACATGTTCTTTTATCCAGCCGCACATTATTATGTCTGCCTTTCTCAATTTTAAGGTCATGGTTGCTTGTCCTGAATTTTGCAATTAACCTTCTAATACCATGGTTCTGCATATTAATTAGGTAATTTTCAATTTTTAAATCTTGTTTGAAAAGTCTGTATGTTCTTAGTTTGTTTTTAGCCAAGGTTAGTTTTCTATTATCATTATGCATGTCTAAGATCCATTGGTTCTCAAATGATTTGTTTATTTTTTTATGAATAAAGTCTAAATTTTTCTTAATTATTTTTTCACTTGAGTTTACAATGGTGACAACATCTAAATCTTGCATGAGGGTTTCTACACTTGTAAACCATTTACTTTTTACATTCTTGTTTACTAAGTAGGCTTCTCTTAGTAATGTGTTATCAGAGTTTGTTACCCGGTTGAAATATTTAAGTTGTTGTTTCTTGATAAAACAGTCAATGGGGTACCTTCCTAGCCACCATAAACAGCCATTTTTGGTGTGAATTTTGAGAGACCAAGAATGAACCGACAAAATGAAAGATGGACATCCTCAATTGCAGTATGTCAGACAGGAAGTCGACAAGATGGCTTGCCCCGGGAGAAACAAAACCACAGGTAATGCGCCAAAATAAAAGTTGAAACTTATATTGTCACTACATGTTATGATATCCACGGTAAAGAGTCATACAGTTGAAACATTTGTTTTTACACCAGAATGCTATAGGCAAAGGTTTATGCAGACACTCTCATGAATAAAATACAATGTTAAAAAGCTGGTTTCAAATAATCTATGACTCCAAGGAGGGATTCTCCAGAGGATTTCGTGGTACTTTTATCGAATTGTTTTCCAGCAAGGTGATCAGCATCTCGTTCGAAATAGGGGTCCGGGCCAAGCATTATTAGCTAGTCAATAAACATGAAAATATAACAAACCATATACCAGCACCACCACCGAGTCTATTCATAGTCACAAATATTCCAATACGGTGTAGACTGGTATCAAATAAATAAATAATACGATTCATGATATTTTATTAAGGATTTAAATAACTGAACTCGTCAAAATATCTCGCCACCATTTTGTTTGGTTGTCGATCGACCGGAACCCAGTACTCACCACTGTAAGCAAGCCCTCATTTTGTTTCAAAACAGATTTAAATCGAACATAAAAAACTACATGCTAATTTATGACACGGAGAACTCTTGTTTTTATTTTCAATGCAAATAAAAGTAACGCTGAGTGGAAAATCAAAATGGCCGCCAATATTCCGGACACGTGAATATTTCCAGTGTTTTACCGGGCTGTGGAAATAAATGTATTTTCTTGCTCTCAGAGTCTTGTCGGGACTGAGACTCCTTTGTTTTACTGAATCCGCTACATGGATAAGCAGATTTGGATTATAAACTAACTAAATGTTTGGATAAGTTAGCCAGCTCATCATGGGGTACGTTGACTGTGTCACGTGACTTTGATTGACAG